GACAGAATGGAACTAGAGCTCTGTAGTCCTCCCGTCGATCTAATACCCGGGCACAGGCGTCGGACCAGACTTTCACCGCAGGAGAGGACAAGGCCGGGTTCAGGGCCGTCCTTGGCCATGCTGGACTCCCGGCGGAGCCGTCACCGCTCACTGACAGCGTTTGGAGTGTGACAGGAAGCACGTGTCAGTGCCCCTGTGGTGTCCTGCGTCACAGGCAGGGCTGGCTGGGTCCCCGCCCCTGAGTGTGGGGCCCGCGCTCTGTCCGGACCATGGGGCCAGTGGCTGCCACACTCAGACCCACGCTGTCCCGCCAGTCACCCTGGGCTGGGTGCTGGGGACGCTGACTTCCTGCCCTGTGGGGTCCCAGAGGGCCCAGCCCACGGCCCCACCTGCCCTGTCCCTTGGCTGTGAGAGGGGACCGAGCAGGAGGAAAACGTCCCATTGGGGGTGGCAGGGTTGGGGTGAGGGAGAGTTTGGGGACAGGGAGTCCTGGGGAGCCAGCGGTGAGCCAGGTGGACCAGGGACAGGGACAGCGCCACCCCTCCGGCTCGCTCAGGTCTGTGCGGCTCTGGGGAGCTGGCCACACGGAGGGACACTGGCCACACGAAGTCACAGGGCTGGAAGGGTCACTCGCCAAGTGGTCATGAGTTCGTGGCCCACGGGGATGGAGGGTGTCGGCCGCACATGGGCAGAAGCGTCCAGGGTGAGCAGAGACGCCAGGGCAGCGACGTGGTGGTGCGGGGGGAGAGAGAGCTGAGCCGGACACTGGATAAGGAGATTAGACGGCGACACTCCGGCACCTGAAGCTGCAGCTCCACCATCACGCCCAGCCCGGTGCCCACTCCCCAGGGCTGACCCCAGTCAGGTACGTGCTGTCCAGGTACATGTCCCTGCCCAGGGCCTTCCTGTGCAGGCGGCGCTGGGCAGGGACTTGGGCGTTGCTGATCTTTATCTTATTTCTCTGTAGTCACACGAATCTGTTCTGAAATAAGAAGGTGTTTTGTTCTGAATTACCTTAGTTTTGGCATCAGGAAATAAGCTAAACATCTTTAAAATCACTTAGTCCTGTTTTATTTTGTTTCATTTTGTTTCACTACTGGAGACTGAACCCAGGGCCTTTGCCCTGAGCCACATGCCCAGCCCCTTTTTCATTTTTTATTTGGAGACAAGGTCTTGTTAAGTTGCTAACTGGTCAGATCGGGCTCCAACTTGTGATCCTCGTGCCCCAGCCTCCCCAGTGCTGGAGTCACAGGTGTGTGCCACCACACCCGGCGTATGACTCGGTTGTAGAAACGGATGCAGCTGGCTCTTCACGTGAGGCCCGGGGCCTCGGGTGCAGCTGGTGGGACAGGAAGAGGCGCGGACAGCAGTGTCTGACCTCCATAGCAGGGCACAGCCGTGGGCGTGTGGCTCTGGCGGTGCTGGCTGAACCTGCCCCTTAGGTGCGCGTCGTGAGCACTTGGAGTCCCGTGTGGGCTGTTGTGACCGAAGCTGTCTACCTTTCTGGGTTGAGCACGTGCCCGGCAGTAGAAGTGCTGCCCCGCCTCAGCAGAGGCGGCTCCCCGCTGGAGCACCTGGCCCCCTCTTGGCAGCCACCTGCGGCCCAGGCCGTTCCGGTCCCCACAGCCTGCCTACACGCTCCTCGAGGCCTGCTTAAATCTTCCCAGGTCCTGGGGATGGAACTAGGCCAGCGCTGTGCCCCAAACCATGCCCGGTCTCTGATTCTAGGTGCCCCACGGGTAGGTAATAGAATTGTCTGCAACTTTAATTTGCAATCGGGGATGACTATTTCATGGTTTTTGACTGTGACAATATCCTCTTTTGAGGAAATTGCCTGTTCAATTCTTTTCCCCTATGTATCTAACAGGAGGAGCTTAGTTTAACAGTTTATGATGTTCCGTAGTGAACAGTAATGCTGACGGACTTCCCCCGAAAGGCAGATCTGTAAGCGCTGACAGTGAGTTAGGCGGGAAAGGAGTGAGGCTAACTGGCCTCACTTAACGTAATTAACAAAGCTGTATTCCAAAAATCTGGAAGAGTAAAACCAAAGTGCGTACAGGAGTGGGCGTGTGGGGCGGTAACGGGGCTTTCTACTCTTGGCGTTGATTCTTTCAAAGAGAAACCAGTTTTTGGCGACAGCTAAGCGACCCTTTGAGGCACACCAGGTGTCGAAGATGGTGCTCGGCATAAGGTTATTCCGGGAGGCCCTGGGTTCTGTGAGCTCCCCCTGCAGAGAAACTTCGAGCTTGTCAAAGTTAAAGATACTATCACAGAGGGGCAAGACTAGCCTAGACTCGTTACATGGAGGAATTTTCACCTTTTTCTTCTCAAAATGCTCACTAAAGCATTCGCTCTAGCAGTGAAAATTTCTCGCGGGATAAGTATTATTGGCTGTAAGTATAAGTGGACTGACATTAGGCACGCCTGGTGACATAACACTAAGTGACAACTCCAGGGCATACAAGCAATCAGTGTGCGTGACTGGCGTGACCGGTGTGGCCGCTAATGGCAAGGTCGCGGCACCTCGAGACGGGAAAGGAGCTCTTGCAGGGCCGGGATTTGGTGATAATTTTATTCCTTGTGCCTGGTTCATCTTCCTCCTCTTCTGTAGCAGACACGTACGACCCTCACAGTTTTAAGCCTTTTGGGTGTGTCTGTGGCCGCCAGCGGCCCACGGCCCTGGCTGGCGGCGTCATGCAGGCAGGTTCACCTGCAGGGCTGGGGTCTCCACCCATCCCTGGGAACAGGAGGGGCAGCTCGAGGCCTGGGGTTTGATCCCAGCACTGGAAAAAGAGGCGGTCCCAAAGACATGGAACGGTGGTGACGACAGAAACACACAGTAAACGAAAAGCAAGGGTCAAGGCAGTCTGTAGCACACAATTTCAATCACCAAACAGTGCAGCAGGCAGGCAGGAGGGACACCGGGTGGACCTGGGGTGGCCACCTGCTTCCCCTGCCTTCCATTTCGAGATTCAGAGTGGACAGCACGAGCAGCGTGAAGGGTGGAAAAGGCTTAAAATTCAGCCTGGGAAGGAGCGGTGTCTCCGTGCACGTCTGGAACACCGGCCGTTTCCACTGCTTTTTCTCTCTCCTGCTGCTCTCACGGACCCGCTTCCTCCGTGCTTGGTCCCTGCGCCGCTGCACCTCCCCTTCCCAGCTGCCACGCGGTCTCCACAGAACAGGCTCACGGTCCCCTTGTTCCCTCGGCAACCCTCCCCCGAGCTACTCCTGCGAGCACACGACAGATAAGCCTCGGTGCCAAGCCCTCCTAATCCTGTACTGGGTGTCCTTGGCCTGACCTTGAAACCGGCTGCACTGACGGACTGGGTGTGGAGACAGCGCTGACGGAGGCCCAGGCTCTGGTGGCCAGCCCTGACCTAGGCTCTTTTTTTTTTTTTGTCTTTTTGAGACAGGGTCTCACTATGCAGTTCAGGCTGAACTTGAGCTCATTTTGTTGCCCAGGCTGGTCTTGAACTTGTGATGATCCTCCTGCCTCAGCCTCCCAAGTGCTGGGATTACAGGTGGGCCCCACTACGCCTAGCTGCTCTTTTTAATTCTAATTTTAACTATAAACTTTATCAATATACGAAGTGTGATCATAAAATACAGTGAACACTTACTTTTTTTTTTTTAATTTGTTAAGTGAAAGACACGTGGCCATGAGTTCCCCTCAAGCTCCTCCCCATCCGTTCAAGCAGGCTTCTCCCATGCTTCTCGACACTGTCTGCAGCAGCTCCGGAGGCCCCTTTCCTGAGGGTCTTTAGATACACTGTTGTCACTGCCTTGATATCCTGGGTTGATTCGAAATGTCTCCCTTCCATGGTCATTGTAACTTCCCGGAAGTCTTGGGGTGCAGCCGCAGTGAACGAGGCGAGGACGCAGCGTGTGTTTCCAAGCTGCCTTTCTGTTGCATTGCACACAGCAGCAGCACTCCTTGTTCTTCTCGTCACACATCGTAAAGGCGCTTGGAAAGGGGACTCCAGAGTTGCCTCGGACAGAGGCAAGGACCAGGGATGAGTATTTGAAGCAAGCAATATTCTGTATCTTTCACTGTGATAATGGTTTTGGGGGCTTTGGTGGGTTTTTTGTTTTGTTTTGTTTTGTCTTTTTGAGACAGATTCTCGCTATGCAGTTCAGGCTAGCCTTGAGCTCACTTTGTAGCCCAGGCTGGTCTCAAACTTGCAACAATCCTCCTGCCTCAGCCTCCCGAGTGCTGGGATTGCAGGTGTGTGCCACCATGCCCAGCTGTGATAATGTTTTTAAACTGAAACATCCCCTGTGTATTTTGATCACTTTCCGAATGTGTGAATATGGACCCATGAGCTGCAACCTGCAGACACTACACTGAATGATGAAGGCGGAGGGCAAGAGGGAGGCAGCACACCGCGTATTCTCGCCACTCCTCTGCTCTGTGTCCGCTTTGGTGAAAAAGCTCAGGCTTAAAATCAGGAAAGCACTGCAGGACCTGCTCCACACCGAGGTGACTGCTGCCCTGGTGCTGGTTCCTGATTTGATGTGTAAGCCCTACTCAGCAGGAAAGTTCTACCACACCGATACTGTGATAGCATATATGCGTCACAGCGTACACTCTGGTACAATAGATGCAAAGGGGAAGAATTAATACACTGCCCTCTGCGGGAGAGCTTGAGTAAAATGTAAGCATTCAGAAAGCCTAAACTGGGCGTCAACTGCAAAGGGCAAGAATTAATAGATCCCCTTCTGTGCTAAAATACAAGTACATGCTACCCGCTCTGAGGATGCAGGGCTCACTGCGGGAGAACGACTTTCCCTCTTTGGGGAAGACGCCTAGAAGCTGGGTCAAGGGGAACCTCGGAGTTTGAGTGTTTCGTGAAATCCCCACACCGATTTCACGTTTGCCTTCACCGCCTTCCCCTCCCAACTGCAGGACACGCGTCTCCCCGCAGCCTATGGTGGCGCTCCTGTATCTCATGCGCTGCTGTTTGCGGTCTGTCCTAGGAAACAAACCGCGCCATGCTGGATTGTGCATCCCATTTATTTCAGCTCACATTGGGGTCTCAGAGTGCATCCATCTTCCTACAGATGACTCCAGCGTGTGTTTGGTTTGCCATGTGAGAGAAACCACGCAGCACTTAAGCATGTGCACCTGATTCACTTAACATGGTGATCTCCAGGTGGATCCATTTTCCACAAATGACTCGCGCTTAGCCCATGGCAGAGCAGCATTCCTCTGTCTGTAAATACCACATTTTCTTCACCCATTCATCTGTTTGCTGCTTCTGAGATTTAACTATTATGAATTGAGTTGCCTTAAACATGGGGATGCATATGTCACTGTAATATGATGTCTTTACTCTTTCAAAAACATACATGAAGGGGAATAGCTGAGTCAAATGGGATTTCCAGATTTGGCTTTTGGAGGAATCTCCACACTGATTTGCAGAGTGGTTGTGTTATCTCCTGGCTGATTATGCCAAAATGTTGTCGGGCGGTTGCTTTAGAAGTGGCTTGCCAATTAAAAGTATTCCAGGTACTTCTTTCCTCGAACAAAGAATTGGACAAAACAAGCCAAAAACAGTGCCAAAAGTGTATTTGAAAGGTGAGGGGTGACGTGGTAAGGAAAGAACCAGCTCTGTGGGGCAATTTGGGCTGAACAAAAGAGGAAGGAGAAAAGCAAAATGTAAGGTACGCTCTGTGCAGCCATGATACTGTGAGCAGCCCTGACAGCAGGCTCCTGCGGCAGCTCCTCTTACACCGTCCACATCTCGCGGGAGCTCGCGAGAAGTCCCACATGCAGGGTCCCGAGAATTATTTGGCGCTGTCCTGGGATCTTGTCATGGACAGGTCCCACATATTTCCCCAGCCAGCTTTGCCACACCCTACCTCCTGTCTCAGTTGTACTAGTTTATATCCCCACCAAGGATGTAGAAGAGTTCCTTACACACACACACACACACACACACACACACACAAAATGCCTCAATAGCAATTGTTTTTATATGATTTCTTGATGATAGCCATTTTTCTAAGGAAGATGAAAGCTCAGTGTTTGTAATTTTCATTTCTCAAACAGCCAGCTGTGCTGAGCTTTTAATTGCATACTTATTGGCCTTTTGTACTGGGAGGAGTGTTTTTAAAAGCTTTACATCATGGCATCTATTACCCGGTGAGTTCCATCAGGAACGCCTGGAGCTGACTGGGGTGCTGTCGGGAGGGTCACCAGCTGCCAAAGCAGCCAGCTGAGGGCCACCAGGTGCTTACGCCCTGAGCTTCTGGGCCGTGGTGTGATGATAAAGGAAGGCCACAGTGAGCGGCAGCGGCTCCCTCCCTCAGCAGAGGTCTGGGCGCCCACCGGGGCGGAAGCAAGGCGGACGACAAGCCCATCAGCCCTGCTCACACCCCTCCTCTTCCTTCCTTCCAGCTTCGTCGCAGGGGAAGATGTGTGACCAGACCTTTTTAGTGAACGTCTTTGGCTCCTGTGACAAATGCTTCAAACAGAGAGCTCTGAGGCCGGTTTTCAAGAAATCCCAGCAACTCAGCTACTGCTCGATATGTGCAGAAATTGTAAGTGCCACTTCTTACGAATAGGAGTGCCCTGTCCTGGAACACCACGGCAAGCAGACGAGCTGCCCTGGAAGCCGCTGGCAGCGCCCTGCCTGGCCAGAGGACAAAACACCGCAGGGCGGGAACCACCACTCTGCGAGGCCTGCCTGGTGCCAGTCCTGCTTCTGTTCCCGGGGGTCGGAGGGCACGGGTGCCCTCCTCCGCTCTCCGGGGCAGGAATGCTGATGGCATCTGCACCGTGTGCAGTGGAAGGCTCGCGTGAGTCCCGGCACAGGCAGGGCCCGGGAAACCTCAGAGTCCTCACTGTCTCCGACCTGTCTGCTCAGCAAGCAGGGGCGCTAAGAGACCGGCAGATAAGCAAGGGGGGGCTCCTCTGCAAGGTGCGCACGCAGCCCGCGAGCCTTCCCCGACTGCAGCCAGAGCAAAACTAGACTCCCGCCGCACTCCTCGGCCCTACGCCTCTGGAGCGCCAAGAACAGAATGCAGAACGCAGGCGGCCGAGTCCTCACCAGAGGCGGCAACGCGCAGGCTTCAGACCTTGCAGAGCGCGGCTGCAGCCCTAGAACGAATGGGTCCTGTCCTGAGGCTTTGCAAAGCTGAGCTAAGCAGTGCGGTCGAGCAGCGCCCCCACCTGTGGCGAATTGGTAAAGCACCCTCCTGGCCAGGCCAAAGGGAAACCCTCAGGATATTGTGCAGTTTTTCAAAATGTGTGTGTGTAAGTGTAAGTGCATAAAGGAGCCGGTTTGGTGCGGCGTGGTGGTTCTGCTGCCTCTTCAGGCTCGGCAGAGAGCAATACATTTGTTGCAAACCTAGCTCTGCAGGCTGAAAGTGGGACCTTCGGGACCCGGGCCCGCCCGCTGGCTTTTGCTAATCCTGCTCTTCCATCCCTCCAACGACTGCCCCTGCATCCCGAGCAGCCCCGAATCCCGATCGCGGGTCCCCATGCTCGGAGCCCCGTCTGGAGGGGCGTCAGGGGACAGTGGCCCTCACCTCCACAAGCACTTGGGGTCCCCGTGTTCACGGCCCTCCAGCGGAGGGGGCAGGCGGCGGCGACACAGCCCTTGAGGACCGGATCCCGAGCGTGGTGACCTGGAACACGCGCGGCCCGGGCGCTGTGACTCCCAGTGGCCTCCCTTCCGAGCGAGGCCCCACGGCGCGAGCAGGCGCTCTGCAACCTCGTGTGGTGGCTCCCTGGCAGCGGAGAGCCTGCCGGTGACCCGGCCGCGCACCCTGAACCAGCGCGGGACGGCGGGACGCGGGAGCGATCGGCGCCCGGCTCCGCCCCGGCCCCGGGGCCCCAGGGGAGGGGTGCGCATGCGCTCGGAGGGCGGAGCCGGCCGCGGTCTCTGCGCATCTGGGTCCCCACGGCTCTGGGGGCGCAGGCCGTGCTCTCCGCCCGGTCCGCGTACCTGCCGGGGTTCGGGGCAGTGCCGCTGCTTCCCGGGAGCGCGGAGACCGGGTGGGGCCCGGTTCGGCCTGCACCGAGCCACGCAGCGTCTCCGAGCCTCAGTTTCCCCCAGGACTCAGGACCCTCCCGTCCCCCGCACGGTGTGCGCAGGCGCGGCACGTGGGCACAGGTGGGGGGCGGGGCCTGCGCCGGGGTCCCCGCGGCTCACGCCCTGTCCCCGTGGCTCACGCCCTGTCCCCGTCCCCGCTGTCCCCGAAGATGGCCACGGACGGGCTGCACGAGAGCGAGACGCTGGCGGCGCTGCGCAGCGAGGCGGAGAGCCTGAAGGGCAAGCTGGAGGAGGAGCGCGCCAAGCTGCA